TCAAACACCACCTTTTCGCGGTACAGGTCGTTCCATCGTATCAAAAACTCATAGTAGGTTATTCAATTATTACATTATTGTTTTTTCTAGCAAAAATAGTAGATAGAACCTACCATGAACTTTTCTGCATGAGCCTCACGCACACAGACATAAACTCTATTACTAATTCACATTATATTTGTATATTTAGGGATGACATCAAATATGTCTAGTATTTCCGTGAGTTCACCTTCGTATTTGTCACCATCATCATCCAGCAGCCAACACCATCAGCAAATTCGTAGTTTATTTAACTTGACAGCTGTTGTGGACTGGTGAAACGTTTGCATAGCTGAAAATCTGCTGTTATGATTTTTAATAGAAATTTTAAAGTTAATAAAATTATTTTTTACTCAAACTGAATCCATGTAGGCTTAATCTGTGACTTTTATGCAAGAGGCAGAACTATGACGTTATTCGTATTTCTGTGTTGGGAAAGGTTTTTCTGAGATCTGTTGTTTATTTCAGGAACATCAATACAGAAGATTATCAATCGATTTTTCGCCTCTCCTCTTTCTCCATTAAATGATGAATTTTCTGAACTTCCGGTAACAAAAAAGGTTTCCAAACCAAAACTGCAATATCCACAAATGATCCAGTTGTATCAGATACGAACATTAGCGATACTGAAGGACAGATAAATTCAACACTTTTGGAATGTACCGATACCGATATTGTTTGTCTTGAAGAATCATCAACACAACCACCAGTAGATCGAAAAGCATTTGGAACAGTTTCTTCGTCAGATCCTTCTTGTCTTTATACAGAAAAGCAATTACAACAGCTGTTAAGTAGGTTACGGTTTTGTTATATGGTCATGTGATTGATCTGACAAGTTTACTCCAGGAGTTTTTGTTTCTCATACTCGATACATCACTAATTTTCGCCATGTTTGAATGTTGTAGGTGCAGTTGTCCTCTCAGTTACCACGAATGTTGTGTTGGATAGTAAGGTTTTGGTGCCATTTTCGTATTTGATACCGTCACCGTCGTCCACCACTCCTGCTACATCTGATACATCTAACGCCTCAATGCCAGTAGCAATAAATAATTCAAATGATGTGATACAGACACCTCTACGTACCGAAAACAGACGCAACATGCTACCATTCACTGCAACATCCCCATTAGCTTCAGTTCGAAACAATGATCGGTCGCGAAACCCGCGTCCTTTTTCACGCTGCACTGGTACGGACAGTAGACGATCTGTTTCATCAACGTACACCTCTCCAACGGCCACCTCAGTACATCATAGGTCTGATCGAAAAACAACATCGGCTTCGAACACCTATCCGACATCATCACGTGGATTCCATCAATCACTAGCATTAGCAACAAATTCACGTGAAAGACCAAGTACAATTCGAGATGTGACAAATTTCGATCGAGAAGATTTCGAAACATATGGAGAACCAAGGCGAAGAATTCCCCCAATTACGGCTCAAACGGCTGAGGTTTTGGCTGAAGCTAATCATCTGATTCAGCGAATGCACAAAACCATGGATGAAGAATTTGGTCCGGATCGTAATTAGGAGAGGATATTTTGATATTTTCTTTGTAGTAAAACTAAAAATTGTACTCGTACGTAAAGTGATTGTTACTGTATTTGTTTACATCGTACAGTTCTGTTTGTTTTTTCGTGTGAACTTAGAAGAAAAGATGGCTGATAGATCAGAGAGAAGAAATTGAAATTTTTATGCTTCTCTATGCTCTTCAGCGATCTTCGATTTCGCTCTGATATGATCACAAATGAAACCTCAAATAAAAATTTGTTACTTTTGAAAGTACAAGTCGATGTGCGAGTGTGTAAAGTTTAATCGAAAAGGGAGCTATTTTTAAATTACTTTCAGAGACACTGACTGGAAATAAAGAGGTCTTTTAGTAATGACTATTGGTAGCTGTGTGAATGCAGTTTTAACAAATTTGCCTCGAAATAGTATTTGGGAAATCGACTCCATATCACTCACAGAGCACAATATATGTAGATTATTCTTGCTTACTGATGTAAAACGAAAAAGTTACCATCTTTATACACAGAA